AGTACTTGTCTGACTTAACATTCAGGAGCAGAGTTAATCACTCTGTCTTCATTGAAACACTTTCTTCACTTTATTCTAAGATACTTGTCAAGAATTGAAGGATCTAATATTTTACCCTATTGTAAGCTAAAAAGTTAGCCTGCCAGTTTCATGAATGGTGATAGAAAACATGAGACTTCTGGATCAGAGACAAAAGGCAGTTTATTACCTACAGCAGGAGCAGTAGCCAGAATAGTCATATTTTTGTACCTGTTCCCTATGCCCCAGTTACCTCTGAGGCAATGTGAAGAGGGCCAGATTACACCTGCACACATGGTGGGTTGTTATTAGAGAGGAAACCTGATCTTAGACAACCTAAATCTTCTATAATGGGCAATAAGCATGCCTTCTCTTTGTTCTAGAGGAGAACATTATCTTTATTATACTGGACAGTGACTCTATGCTCTGGAGGGAGACACTACCAAGTCTTCCAAGGCTATTCGCTATACAAACATGCTTGAAAAGATAGTCTAGAACTGTCATATCAAAGCAAATATCATATTGCTGTCAAGACAGTCAGTGCCTCGCTTGCAATACATGCAGAAACATGAGAGACCCATGGAGAATTGTCTCACGATTCCTCCCTCTCTGGCCACTTCTTTTCAGTCTTCTCTGCTGATTCCTCTTCACTTCCCTAAACTCTAGGTCTGTACTGTCCAATACTGTAGCCACTAGCTCATGCAGCTATTTAAATTAAATTTTCAATTATTCAGTTGCATTAGCCATATTTCGTGTACTCAGTAACCACATGTGAATAGTGGATACCTATTGAATGGCACAGATATATAAATATTTCATCATCACAGAAAGTTCCATTGGACAGCGCTGCTCTCCATGTTTGAGTGCCCCATGGCTCAGCCTTTGGACATTTCTTTCTGTATTCCTATATAGAAATAGATTTCTATAGAATCTTATAGAATAAGATTTATTACAGAATAAATATTTCTATATATTTCCTTCTCTTTTCTTTCTGTAGTCACTCCCTTGGTGATCTCATTTGGTCTCAAGGCTCTAAATATGACTCTCAAATTTGTATCAGCCCAATCTCTCCCCTGAAGTCCAGACTCAATTCTCCGATAGCTTTCTGCACATCTTTTCTTGAACATCTAATAGGCATCTCTAAAGTAACATCCAAAACTCAACTACTGACCTTCCTCATCACCACCACTCCCTCTACCACCAACAAATCTGTTCTTTCTGCAGTCTTCCCAGTCTTAATGATTGTCAGTTCTCTTCTTCCAGTTGTTCAAACAAAAAAACAAAACAGCAGTTTTAAAAAGTCAACTCTTAGATTCATCCTCAACCTCACTCTTTTCTACAAAACCCACACATCTGTCCCATTGACTCTTATTTCAAAATATACCCAGAAGCTGACTACTTTTCACCCTTCCCCTGCTACCACCTGGTCCAAGCCAGCATCATCTTTTGCCTGGATTATTCCAGGCAAATTTGGCCCCCTTTTTGGTCTCCCTGTTTCCACTGTTGTACCCTGTAGTCTGTTCTCATCAGAGCAACCAGAATGATCTTGTTAAAAAGTAAGTCAGATCGGGGCCAGTCTGGTGGCATAGCAGTTAAGTGCGCATGCTCCGCTGCAGTGGCGCGGGGTTCGCAAGTTCGGATCCCAGGCACCACCGACGCACCATTTGTCATGCCATGCTGTGGCGGTGTCCCATATAAAGTAGAGGAAGACGGGCACGGATGTTAGCCTAGGGCCAATCTTCCTCAGAAAAAAGAGGAAGATTGGCATTGGATGTTAGCTCAGGGCTGATCTTCCTCACCAAAAGAAAAAGTCAGATCGTGTCATTTTTCTGCTCAAAATTCTTCAGTAGCTTCCCATCTCACTCAGTAAAAGTCAAAGTCTAGTCACACTGGTGTTCTCACTCTTGATAAAACGTTCAAGACATGCTCACATCTCAGAGCCTTGATAATTGTTGTTCCTTCCACTTCCTTCCCCCTCAACCCACCTAAACGTACTTTTTCCCTCATGATACTGACTTATTGAAGAGACCAGGCCAGTGGTCTTACAGGATACATATGATGAATTTCTATTTCCTCATGGTATTTTTTAACTTATTTCTCTATTGCCTGTATTTCCTGTAATTGGACATTAGATCTAAAAGATTGATTAAAGCTAAATATTTTTGGCAAGAAAACTTTGTAAATGATACTTCAGTCTTCACATTGCATCATATCAAGAAGTACATATTATCTGATTGTCCCACCATTAGTGATGCTAAGTTTAACTGTGGTGTTAAGGTGGTGACTTTCAGATCCCTCTGTTAGAAATTACATTTTTACCTTTGTGATTAACAGATAATCTGAGGGTAAATATTATTTTCTTTAATCCTGTAATTTTAAGAATTTTTTTAGCTGTGGAACTGTATTTTTTCAAATAAAATATTTTTTGAAGATCCAATATATAAAACAGATAAAAGCAGAGCTATTCCAGTTGCAGTGGGAAATGCCTAGTATTGGCAGCTTCCGAGGGAACTCAGACAAGCAGTTTGTAACTCACAGAGCCCACCCAAGGCCCAGAGAGGATACTTGAATGAAGTCTTAAGGCCACCTAGCATGTCACAAGAAAGGCTCAGTGCACTTTCTGTTAGAGCACAATTTGGGGAGCTCTGTCACTTTCTTGGAAAGCTGTAGTTGCGGATGATCACTAGAATGGCACTTGGTTTTTCCCTGGCAGTCCACTCACTGCTTTTAGTTGTCTGAGTAGGCTTTCTTTGACATTCTATCTGTTCTGCAGATGTGAAGATTTGAAATTACTTCATTTTTAGCGTGTGTTGGGTTGCCGTCTTTTTTGTTTGTTTGTTTCCCTTTTGGAAATTCTTCATCCACAAAGAATTCCAGATTCAGACATTATTCATCTTATGTCTGGAACACTAAAATTTCATGAGCTTCCATATGTCTTACCTCTTTCCACCTTTAGAGTATTCAAAATGCTGCCACAACTAAAGTCAGTTTTATCATCTGCTTTCTGTTTGCTTCTTTTCTACACCTTACTTATCATACAGCCTAATGTGCCTTAGTAGAGAATTGAATAAGTAAATTTGGTATATCCACACAATGTATATAAGATGTATGATGTAGATTTTTATTTTCAAGGAAAGATGTTTTCCTATATTAATGGAAAAAGCAAGTAATAAACTGTCTCGTTCTTGTTAAAAAAAATAAATATTCACAAAAATCCCTGTGTCTTTTTGTGTGTATGTGTATGTTTAAAGCCAAAAGAACATTTACAAAAATGTTCACATTGATACTATCTCTAGGTGTGGTCTTTGTTTTCCTCTTTTTTTTTTTTCAGCAGGCATGTGTTATTTCTATAGTCATAACTTTTGCAAAGATTAAAACTGTTGTCAAAAAAAATAAGCAACAACCCTGATCTGTCCAATCCAAACTAAGTTGAAGGCAATTCTAGGCTCCTCCCCAGCTTACTGCCATCCATGCCATCCTTTGGGATTTTTCCCTGTTCTCTTATCGTCCCATTCAAGCACGTTTTCCCCTGGCCCATTCTTCTGTTTATTTTACTCCAGGTTCCTGGTCATCTTCTAGAATTTCCCATTTGGCTCTGAAGAGCCTCTCCGTTCACTTGTACCAAAATGAACTTGTCAGGGAGGAAAAGGAGGATATAAAAATTATGTTCTAAAAGGAACTGTCACTAGAATGTGATCAGGGCCCAGGAGGACTTCAGTAAATACTTGTTGAATGAATTGATGTATTCTTTTTTGTCTCATTTCTTTTATCCCATAAGTTCCTACAAGACAGGCGTTTTGCTTGTTTTCTATAATGCCCTGAACATTTTGGGTACTTGATATACATTAATGAATACCGTCTTTTTTTTTAAAGATCCATAATTTACTTAATGAAAATGAATTTAAGATCTGTTGTCAACTTTGACCAGAATATGTGCTTGCACAGGGATGTAGAAAAGCACAGGATTTAAAGATAAAAAACTTAGGTTCAGATCTTGCTCATAGATTTGTGATCCTGGGTTAGTCGGTTAGGCCTGTCAGCTGCCTTGATTCATCGCCTCACTGATTCTCCCCTGGACTCTGCAGAGCCCTTCTCCCTGGTATACCCAGCCTTGGTCTTGCTTCCCCAAGTCTGTCCTCTGCAGTGCTACGGAGTGGTACGTCTACAGTGTAAATCTGACCTGGTCCCCTCCTCCCCCCGTTGAAACCTCTCAGGGGCTCTCTGATGCTATGTTGCCTTTGCCCCACCTTGTTGGCTGTAGCGCCTAGAAGCCTGTCTTCAAACTTGACACTGGAATAATATGAAACTCGTGGTAGCTCTTCACACATCACATGCCCCCTCCTGCCTTGCTCCCTTTGTCCACAAAGGCATTTTCCCTTTCTGCGGCCAACTGCTTTACTCCAGGACTGGGCTCAGCAGTCCTCCTCTCTGGGATGCCTTCCTTGATTAAAGGCTAGGTATCCTCTCTGCCCACTGACGCTGTAAGCTGTTTGAGGCAAAATCATAGAATGTGTAGTTCCCTCATCTTGAAGAGTATATGGTGTATAGTGGCACTCAAATGTTTAATAACTGTGTTGTGTGTATGTTCTTCTAAACTGTCCAAATGATTTTATCTATAGGATATGATTGATTTTCATATGATCTCCTCCAAAATAAGAAAAAGACTTAGAAAAGGAAAATATGTGAATTGAAGTAACTTAAAATACTACCAGCAGACAGAGACAACTATTGTCGATGTTTTGGAATATATAATAGAGAAGTTTTTTAAAAATTATAAAATGTTTAAAGTTTAACCTCCAGATTTTCCTTTCAGAGCCAGTACTCAGAAAAATCAGTAGTTTTGCAAATATATGCATTAAAATTAGTAGGCAGTTCATTGTGCTTCCCACATCAAATAATACAAAATAATTCTCTAGTAAAATATATTTTTCCTAATTCAAACCAAGAAAAAAATGTTTGCTTTTCTCATGTTCCCTAGACCCCAGAGCCATCTTTTGTCCTATTTTTCCAGAAGAGAGGGAGAAATCCCAATGAGGGAAGTGACTTGACCAACTTACTCAGCTGGTCAGTGCAGAAGCAGAAGCTGGATCGAGGAGCTCCTGACTGCCCACCTGGTGCTTTTCCCCTCAGCCACATATCCTGTTTCTCCACTGGAGTAAAAATAAAAGTAAGTTTTTAAGCACTTCCTAATTCCCATATGCTGAAATTAGGCCTGCTGCTGAGATGTTCTTATTTCACTTTTAGTCTCCTTAAGACATTAGCCCTAAACCTAAAGCATTAATTGTTCTTTCATGTTAATGTGTACAATTTCTTTGAGCATTAGAAAAATCTTCCCTTCTGGGCCGGCCCCGTGGCTCAGCAGTTAAGTGCGCGCGCTCCACTGCTGGCGGCCCAGGTTCGGATCCCGGGCGCGCACCGACGCACCGCTTCTCTGGCCATGCTGAGGCCGCGTCCCACATACAGCAACTAGAAGGATGTGCAGCTATGACATA